GTGTTGGAATTAATGTTCTGTTTTTAGTAATCTTTTTTTGTTCTAATCTCTTCTATGTATAACGAAATCTTCTATGTTGCATGATAAAAATTGCTATGAGCTTAAAACCATTAAAGTCACATTTCCTTTTGCATTTTTGAGAATATTAACAGCTTCTTCATGCGTGCATCCCTCTAAACTTTGTCCATTCACTGACAATATTTGATCACCACGTTTGAGGTTTCCTTCCACTGATGCAGCACCTTGTGCAAACACACTTTTGACATAGATCGGTAAATCTCCATGTGGACTTCCATGACCTCCTACAATAGAGAACCCTAATCCAGCTGGTCCCCTGTTCAATGTTATAGTCTTGCATTGAGGTGGAGCTCTGTAAACAAAAGTTTTAAGGTTTATGATATAGAATAGACATATTTCAATATTTGAAGACTAACTAAATACCATATTGATAATTCACTTTGAACAGTTAAACAGTAGAGGTCTTGGACATCTTTTCAATTGATCCACATGCACATCTTCAGTATATATACAACTATTCAACAGAATAAAAAAGTTTGACCTTTTAAAATTTGAAAGACAAACCAAATATCCTATATGTGGAATGATTGAAGGAAAGACAGCCGTTAATGCCTCACATGAGTAGTAGCATTGCTTTCTTTAATTTAATGAAACAAAGCAAAAATCTAGTCCAGATCAAACCAATGCTTATTCTTGGTATAAAGATATTGACAAATATAATGTATACCCACCTTCCTATGTTGAATAAGTTCTAAATTGTTCTGAAAAATATCATTCATTCAACACCCATCATTGCAAATTTTTCTCTGGAACCTCAGATGGCCTTTGTCAGTCTCGTACGTTTTTTAAAAATTTTGGTTCATTTATATGTTTCGGAGTTTAGAGTGATGTTCATTTTCGCTGAAATAGTATACATTATTGTTTAGGGGCAAGCTGAAGCCCGCCTTCGGGTGTTGGATTTTCTCGCTGTGTTGAAGACCCATTGATGGCCTTTGGCTGTTTTCTGCTCTTTGGTCCGGTTGTTGTCTCTTTGACGCATTCCCCGTTTCCATTCTCAATTTTATTTAATTGTAATTTTTGGTTATAAACTTAACATACTCAATTGATGTTGAAAATAAAATACTAACCCATCATCATCAAATACAGCATTATCTTGTGGTGTCATATCAGCACTTACTGGTCTGGAAGATTTTCCACCCGTCACACTAACTCTTGTCTCTTCTCCTGTAATTATAACATGCACATGGTGTAAAGCCTGCAAAATTTTCCAGTAAGCATGAATGCTTTATCATAGAAACCAATCTTATTTGAAAACAGATCCAGCATGTGTGCTTCACTTACAAAGGTCAGATGTTCTTCTTTCTGTTCTGATAAATATTACATCAACCAATGAAAATTCCTCTCTTTTTTAAGCTATGTATCAGTGTGACGAAACCTGATGATTTTAAAGGTTTTCAAAACAGAACTTAAACCAGAGCGTTGTCAGATTCCTTGTAAGCTAGGCATGGATGCAGGATCTATACTCCAATCATATTGTGATGAAACTGAAGTATGGAATTTACCAGGGGTTAGATGATGTTATAAGTTTTAGCTTCAACTGAATTACTTTAACTCATGGATCATAAAAGTACACAGAGTTTATTACATCTAGATTTATCTAGCCTGAATATATTCAAATCACATTAACAGTGCTGGTACTGAAGTCTGTTGTATTGTCCAAATAAAATGTAAAAAATTATATCTTACTGCTACATGTAATATTGTAATCTTTTTTTGGTTTAGCATTATATTCTAAATAAATTTAGATGCATTATGTGCTTAGGGTGGTGTTAAGACAATCCATCAAACCCATGTCACCTCTGTATGATTTTCATCACTAATGCATTATTTTTTTCAATAACAAAAACAGAAAAAACAAACTGAAAAACATCATGAAGCAGACAACTTATATTACCTCAGGTTACCATTAAGGTACCAGGTTTAGGTAACTGTGCCACATCATCATCCACCAGACCATCTAACTTACCTTGGGTTACCATTAAGGTAACTGGACTACCAGATTTCAGTAACTGTAGCACATCATCACTTCTCAGGTCATCTTACTTACCTTGGGTTACCATTAAGGTAACTGGACCACCAGATTTCAGTAACTGTACAGCATCATCATGTGTCATTCCATCTGTTTCTCTGTCATTTATCTGGATAATTTTATCTCCTATCTGTAATATATACATTAAAATAGTAATAAATTTTTGCAGGCCAAAAGAAAAGACTGATAAAAGTTTAACTCAAAAATGTCTTTGTTACCATCAAAACTTTCATATAGTGTCCTTAGAGTTTACTTTCAAGGTGTAAATGTTTTTAAGATATTGCATGCAACTTTATATAGTATAAAGTCATTTAGGATGTGAAAAAGATAATTATTTGCTGCTACTACAAAAATACTGTAGCAAACTGTCATCTCTATCACCTCTATGATTTCCCATGACCATAGTTGCCAACTGACATGATATTCGCTTGTAATACACGCTTTTTCAACGGTTTACATGCGAGGATTTTGTCACATGGCGTATACACGCTTTTCACCACTTTACACGCTTTTTCGACATCTACATCACGCGCTTTCACACGCTTTTTGACATGTCATGACATGATTTCTCATTGTCAGAGGTTGGCGAGTATGCCCATGACTACATAATTAACAAATTATAAATCCCCTCATTCATTTTAAATGACTACGATCTTTAAATTTAATAAATGCTGCTTGTTTTCACTAATTACAACAGTTCCCAAAGAATTCCCAATACAATCAGCCATACTTGATCCTAATAGGGCAAAGATCCTTACTCTGGCATACCTTAAGCTTCTGTGATCTGGCAGCAGCTCCCCCTGGTGTTAAATTAGCTATCATAACAGCAGTATCCCCTAGTGAGCTACCAATACCACCAGCTATACTCAATCCAAGGGACCCTGACACATCATGGGTTAGTTCTACAATTCTAACATGGTTCAAGTCCTCGCTAACAGCTAAAACAAAAAGTTTGGCAAGTTTATAACATAAACCAATAATCAAACACACAACTCACTTGAAAGATATACTGTTTATTAAACCTCATCTGGATATATGAATATAATGACAGTGGCCCTTACTATGAGTTTTGATCTCTATATATCTTAAGAAAACAACAATTGGCAAGTGTCATCCCCTATCCAAAAAGTAATTCATTGCATCAAAATGAGGTACAATTTGGGAACCAATATGTATGTGAACTTACAACAATTTTCAAGTACCAATATGTAAAAAAATAGTCAATACTTGCATAATTCAATGTAATTATTCCCATTATCAATGAATTTACTGATGTTTTACTTAATAAGAAGTTTTGTGCAATTACACATAACAAAGGCATAATGGCATCGGGGTAAGAAAAAAATCGCCTCTGCCTCCAGATCAATAAGTAACATTTTCTTTAAAATGCCACAATTTACATAAAGTTAAATGGACATTTATATTATGCTTACCATTTATTTGCTGCCTCAAAAACCATCACTGATGTTTCCACTATGACATGGAGTATGTATCAATAATAAAAAAAAATCTAGAGGGCTACTTAAATTTAACTTCTAACCCTATAACCTTAACAGCTACATAGATTTTGTGTCATCTTATATCAGCTGTATGGGCTTTACGTTAGAAAACAGGGTTAATCCACTAATGTGCAAATTTTGTTCAGCTTTGTCTCCATTGTAAGTATTGGAACAAGGTTCTTGTTCAGGATATTTCAGTCACAATAACAAAAGGATCATGTAAAAATGCTGCATGAAATCATATTCCTCAATCAACCAAAAAATAACACATAGTAATGTCGTGGTATGATAAACCAACCAGAAAAAACGTCAAGCTCTGTTCCCTAATATTAATTAAAACATAGTAATGCCGTGGTATGATAAACCAACCAGAAAAAACGTCAAGCTCTGTTCCCTAATATCAATTAACACATAATAATGCCGTAGTATGATAAACCAACCAGAAAAAATGTCAAGCTCTGTTCCCCAATATCAATTAACACATAGTAATGCCTTGTTAGAATAAACCAACCAGAAAAAACGTCAAGCTCTGTTCCCTAATATCAATTAACACATAGTAATGCCTTGTTAGAATAAACCAACCAGAAAAAACGTCAAGCTCTGTTCCCTAATATCAATTAACACATAATAATGCCGTGGTATGATAAACCAACCAGAAAAAACGTCAAGCTCTGTTCCCTAATATCAATTAACACATAGTAATGCCTTGTTAGAATAAACCAACCAGAAAAAACGTCAAGCTCTGTTCCCTAATATCAATAAACACATAGTAATGCCTTGTTAGAATAAACCAACCAGAAAAAACGTCAAGCTCTGTTCCCTAATATCAATTAACACATAATAATGCCGTGGTATGAAAAACCAACCAGAAAAAACATCAAGCTCTGTTCCCTAATATCAATATTTGCATAATTCAATGTAATTATTTCCATTATCAACAATCACTGATGTTTCCAATATGACATGGAGTGTATTTATCAATAATAAAAAAAATCTAGAGGGCTACTAAAATTTAACTTCTAACCCTATAACCTGAACAGCTACATAGAAATGTGCTACAAGCTTATTGCATTCTCTTTTTAAACTTTACCTTCTCAACTTTATCAGCAATCAGTAAAACAAACAATTCCGTGACCTGTCATTCAGTGTTTGTCATTTGTTGCTGTATTTTGTATTTGTTTATTGTTTTGTGCATAAATCAGGCCGTTAGTTTTCTCTTTTGGATTGTTTTACATTTGTCATTTCAGGGTCTTTTATAGCTTACTCTGCAGTATGGGTTCTGCTCATTGTTGAAGGCTGTACAGTGACCTTCTAAGACATTTGGTCTCTGGAGGAGAATTGTCTCATTGGCAATCATACCACACACATCCTTTTATTTCTATAATGACAAGATGTCTATTTTAAAATTTATTTTCCGATTTAATCATATATTAACATTTTCCATAACCCTAAAATATATTTCAAGTAAACCAAGAACAGAAAGATCTTATTTACAAACAAAAAAACTAACAACAGTACAAAAATATATAAAAGTAAAAAGCAACCTTGTGGAAATGTCATGTTTTCATGTTAATCAACCATCTGCTATACATATACATGCCATTCAGTAATTTTGCTTTACGCATAAGTCCCCATACTTTAACACCAAGGGGAAAAAAATTAACCGTCTTGGCTGTTTAAAAAAAACTTATGGTAAAATGAGACAAGTAGGAACATATTCATTGCATTCAATGAAAAAAAAAGATACATTCGTAAATGTGATTTTCCTATAATATGATTCATTTCATAAGCTTGTGTGATGATGAATGTGGAGGAATAGATATTATCATTATCATTGAAATATAATCTGGTAAATTCTCCTTTTGGATATCAGCTCAAATTACACACATGGAGCTGCGATACTGTGAATTTATATAAAGCTTGAAATTATTTTTGAAAAATGGACCTGGTGTGAAATAAATTCAGGGGAAAATTGATTTCTGTATGTCTGTTTGATGTCCTGCATTATTGCCCCAATATCTAAACTTTCAATTTACGTAAGCACTATAAAGCAGTGTATTCCTCTTTTTTAAACAAATGAAACAAAAATAACACAATTCAACACTATATAAATTTACATAAGAACAGTAAAATAATTTAACACAGAAGTCAGAGTAACCATTTGTCATTTGTTATCTCAAACAATTGTTTGAAAATCAGATCTTTCATTTTCAATTACCAAAAATAGAACTATTGAAAAAGAAAAACTAAAACAATCTACAAATTAACAGTCTATCAAATACTGATCAAAATGTTCTATGCACATTTAAAAAATGCCATGCTCCTCTCAATGCCAAAGTTGTGAACTTTTCCATCAAGAAATGTGTTAGACTTTAGTAAATTTGATAAGGTTATGCACATAAAACAATCCATGTACATTCAAAAACTGTACAGATTTCTTTTCAAAAATAACTATGGGACTATCTATTTATCCATTTAATTAAAACAAAGGAAGGGTTTAATTAAAAGTCTTGAAATTAATGATGTTTATTTACCCTTTCAAAGGAAAAAACCAAAAGAAAAAAAGAAGAAAAAAATTCATATCCTATGACACACATCTATTCATCAAGCTACTGGATGTGTAAATGAAAATGTTTCAAATCAGACAAAAGTCTTCAAGATCAACTTATGAATCCGCAGGCCAGAAGCTCAATTTTATGAAAATTTTAGTTGGATTCTGTTGGCATGTAGAGAAAATTTTTACAGGCCCAAAGCAATTTTACAAGCCTGGGCTGGTGGGTCTGTAGTAAAGAGTGAAGACTGAGACAAAACTATTACATTTTCTGTCTTAACAAAATAAAATATATGATGTAAAAATTTCTTGAGCAGATACCAGTATTTTTTTAATCGTAATTCTTTAATTATCAAAGCAAAATTTTGGTTATAGAAAAGTACATTTTATGTATATTGTGTACTATGTTTTTTTTAAAAAAATTCCAGGTTATTGAAAGAGTATTGCTGAATACTTAATTCTAATATATGTCTATGGCAAATCTTGTATAAAATTATTGATATTGGTTTTTTTATTTTAAATGAAAGCATTTACTATACTGATAATACTGCCTGATACAATATATATTGATTTCTAGATTATTTATTCCTAGCTGTATATCAAACAGTCTATGTGAGAACCAAATGGTTAGGCAAGGACATTGATCGCCCATGGAGTATAGTATATTACAAGAACTTTCAAATTAAACACATACTTTTCTCTATTACTACTATTCATTGAGGAAGACCTAGGATTAAGGACCCATCTCTCCTGGACAAAGGCCTAGGCTTAGGAAGTTAGGAAGCTATCTAACAAATCACTGGTATGGTTGTGTCAAGCATTCCTAGTTTCTAGGAAAATTCGGTATCACATGAAAGCTTAAAATGTGTTGACGAAACTGCCTATTACGAACGCTTCACTGGTTCAAATCACTTTCCCTTAAAAACTTGAAACAGGGGATATGAGTCATTTTTCATATAAAATACTTGCAAATGAAAATTACATCTTGAAAAATTCAGAATTTAAGAGCTCATGGTCTATCATCACAAGAGAGGATAATCTAATTAACATTGATACAGTAAAACAGAGATTTTAACTGACATACTAGTACTGGGAAATTTTGAATTTAGAATGCTGTTCATAATGACTACATAACAAACTCAATTTCGTAATTCTAAAGTGTGTGATTTAACTCAAAGAAATGAACTCTCAAGGTTACCTACTACAAAGCCTTAAAGGGAAAATAATCATGGTGTACATATTTCTGAACAATACAAAACCAAACTTGGAAAATGCAAACATTTTCTGCAAAACAGGAGCACACAAGAGCACATAGGAACAAACAAAAAATTTGTTTTGAAAACATCAATTCTGATGGCAGGGTCAACAAAATTCAACTGATAACAACATATTAACAATAAAATACCTGTACAAAAAAAAGGTTAATAAAATCTACACAGCTTACCATGCATTGTGAAGTACAATTTACCAAAGTGCAACTACTACTTTCCAATTTCAGCTTAACCAATTTTTTGTCAAATTTTCTTTTTTCTGTCATACTTATAAGGCGCCATGTCACTATATTAAGTGAACCAATTCAAAATAGGTCATAAACTCAAATTGGTGGGTTGCACATTGTATTTTGTAAAAGAATGAATAGACTTTTTTCCCATATAATTTATGCTGTTTCAAATATCTGAATGTGAAATTTTGCAAAACTTGTAGTAACTTAGAATGTGCAAATTTCAAAATTGTAGAAGGCTTGTCAAATGAGTTCTTTCATCTTTTTTGACATTTAAAAATAAATTTTAACAATTTGATGACCCTTGGCTGCAGTTTAACACTATATTGTCAATTAAAGAAATAAAACCATTCAAATAAATTGTTTAACAATAAAATTTCCATTCTTTTCCAAGGACTTGAATAAAATTTTTAGATTTCAATGTTTTTCCAGGATTTCAGGACTTTTAAAGGTGTAAACCTTTTATATCTGTCTGTTTTTGAATTGGTTCAGTTCAGATGTTAGGCCTGCAACATTAATTACATGCATTATACTCCTTCATGCCCTGTTATAACTTACTCATGTAAGCTAATTACCCTGGTTATAACTGGTCTTGAGTATTTTATTGGACAGAAAAAAAACATATTTTTCAAAATATTGCAACTTGTGTTTTTTCTCCAAATTTAAATGTACAAATGAATTCTCAATAATTAAAAAAAGCTTATCACAAAATATCAACAGTGCTTATTGCAAACACAAATAAAGCTGTTCTCACAACAGTTTTTATCACGGCTGTAATTCCTATTTGCAAATCAATTCTTCAATCATGAGTTATCTTTCTCATAAGTAAGTCTCCATTCAGAAGTCTCAATCTTTTTTTTTTATGGCAAAATGCGCAATAATGAGAGCTTTCAAATGTAAATGTGCATTTCATCTTCACAGGCATTATTCAATTTTTTGGGCAATTTTACTGTGGTTTTATATTTAATAATTATTATGGAATCAAATATTATCAAGAATTAATGGAACTCAAATAATTTAAGAAATCTTTTTTAGTACAGAATCTCTATATTTACCTCATGTTTTGAATGGCAAAACTAGTTATTAAGCAGAGAATAGCCTTTATAAAGGTAAGTTACTTATATTTTTAACAAAAAAGGATTGTCAAATGATTTGCAAATAGGGAATCCATTTTTCATTAGAACAATAAAAATTTATAATCTTCACAAAAGTTCCACTTTGTAAAATTCCTCTTGTCAACCAACTTAAAAAGTATTTAAAATGTGATGACTCAATGTTTTCAATAAAATAACAGATATATTCTACATCTGTACAGATGGAATGTTATCAATGTTTGTAAAGTCAATCCTGGGCACAGGCCAAAATAATGAAATGTCCTATCAACAAACTATTAGTTTGCTGAAACCAATGATAACCAGGTTTAATAGCTTTTTGAAGAAGGAAGACCTGTGGAAAAAATCATAAAATAATAGTTAGCACACAACATCTTTGAAACAGTAATCTCTGATTTTCAGAATCCAATATCATCTATGCGTTTTAACATTTATAATAAACTGCTTCGCTGAGCGCAGCTAGATACGCCCGCAGAGGTCCAACCCTGAACAGTTGGGGCAAAAATGGACACAATATTCAAGCTTGATTCAGGTCTGAATTTGGATTGTAATTAAATATTTGACATATTATAGGTGTCTGAATAAATGTATTCAAAGAACTTGAAATTGGTTATATGAATTGAATTTATGTTCAATTAAAGATTTCTTGCTGTTGTGCAATACTTAGTAAATCTGTTGTCAGACTATAAACAAATAAAGTATAATTAATTCTCAATGTCAAATTAGAAATTTATGAAAATAAAAAGGGAGCTTACATCAATAGATATAAACAATTCACCAAAGTTTCATGAGAATTGGTGACAGCATTTTTGAGTTATTGTCAGAAAACTGGAAAATCACCCCTTTTTAATGAATAAAACCCCATAACTCAGAAATGTAAAATGTAAAATTTATAAAATTCTAAAGGGAGCTTACATCAATACATACAAACAATTCACCAAAGTTTCATAAGAATTGCTGAAAGCATTTGTGAGTTTTTGTCTGATAACTGGAAAGTCCCCCCTTTTTTTAATGAATAAAACCCCATAACTCGGAAACGTAAAATCTAAATTTTATAAAAAACGAAAGGGAGCTCACGTCAATAGATATAAACAATTCACCAAAGTTTTATGCAAATTGGTTTAAGCAATTTTGAGTTAATGTCCGACATGTTGACGACGGACAGACGGACGGACGGACGGACAGACGGACGGACGGACAGACGGACAACGGTATACCATAATACGTCCCGTAAACGGGCGTATAAAAACTAATAATGTTTGAAAGACCAAGTTAGAGGTTGATGAGGTAATTTTTTTTTCTTCTAGCAACAATCAGATTTATATAAAAAGAACATAATTTCCTTATATTTTGGCAAAAAAAAAATAAAACATTTAATTTTACTTATAGAACTCAGAAGAGCAAAGTTTTAATTGGCAAATAGAATATAGGGTGCAAATTTCACTAGATGTGGGGAACCATTTTCCATTTAAAAACTTATGTTGAAAATTGAATTAGGAAGAAACTATCAAAGAAAAATCATGTGAAATAATTATACATTTACTTCCTTAAAATTTTTTTCACTGAAAAAATGAATGAATTAAACTTTAATTATAACACTGATACAGAGTTTCGATATATTGGTTTACAAAAATTAAAGTTTAAACTTCTATTTCATAATGTTCCAAGTATAAAATATCAACAATACTGATTGTTCTATGAATCATAATACATGTGTAGGAGAATAAAATTTATTTTAGAAAAATGGGAAATTCTGAAAATCAAACTCTTCATAAAAGCAGTGATGAATATAAAGCATTATAGAGAACACTGCAACAACACAAGAAAAATAGTATACTAAAGGTTAACTAGCAATCTGGTACAAAATCTAAAAGAAAAGAAAACATTAAAAGCTTTTAATACTTTGTGGTGCTTTGTGAGAAATAAAATCAATGAGACGTGTTTGATTAAATTTGTAATTATTAATTTGACACTGAAAATAAATATATCGTTGAGGTCAGTGAGTTGGAGGTATGATATTGAATAAATAACTTACTCTTAGAATGTCTTCCTCCTTTAGATTTATTGCTAGCAGTAGATTCTGACTTTTTCAGACCACCTGGGTTTGACTGTTTGCGAGACGAGGCACGAGACCCAGCTTTTAATCTTCCGACAGTTAATGTCACTTTGCCTAGTGATGTCTACAATACAGGAGAAATGTTCTGTTAAAATGTTGTCTAGTATAAACAAACACAAACTTATTTCTTTATTTTGAATTTGTATCACAATGTTAAAAAAATGCTATTGATACTTATACAAATCTATGACAGAATTTTATTTCAAATGGTAAGAAAACGACAGCTGATCCACATTGCATAAAAAATGTGTATTCACAAATAAAATTACCTTTAAAGCATGTTTCATTCACTATTACAAATTTCAGTCAATTTTCATTGCAGATTTAGCAGTCAACATTTCTCAACTTTGAGAGACTATTCGAATGTTCAACAGCTTGTACCAATACATAGTTATCTACCTTTAAGACAGCAGCTGCATATTCCTGAGTTGCATTTCGCATATCTTCACCGTTGACAGCCAATATCTGATCACCTTGCATCAGTCTACCATCAGATTCTGATACTCCACCTTTTACCTATAGCAAATCAGCATTAGGTCAAATTATAAAGAAGTCAAAAGTCATTTCTCTAAATTATTGAACATACAAAGCATTAATTTTTCAATATTTCTGATGAATTATTTACTTGCTTCATGTCAAACTAAACCTTGATATTTTATTCATGAATAATCAACATGTAGTATAAAATGAAGAAATTTGTGTATGATAAAAAAGAATGCACAAACCTTCAAAAGTTTAAAACAATAGATTGTATTTGTATGGGGATATCCATATTTACACAGTTGACCTCATTGTATCCACAAAAATTTCAATATAAAACCAATGGATCAAATAAAAAAAAAAAGAAGAATGTGTCTGAGGACATGAATGCCCCCGCTCAAGCTTCAAACAAACGAAAATGGGACGAACTGACGGACGGTCAAGGGTAACACTTAATGCCCTGTCGCCTATGGCGCAGGCATAAAAAAATCATGTTTTTAAATGGTAACTTAAATGATAACAGTCTCTGGTACCGGTTAGTCATATCACACCACCTGTAAACAGTCTGACAGGGACAGTTGATGATTTTACTTCTCAATGCATTAGTAATAATTTTTTTTTACTGTGATATTAATTTTTTATTGTGTTAATAGGATATGGCCTGGGATTGAACCTTAAGTTCCAGACACTGTATATAAATGAATTGACTGTTGTTTGATGTCAGCATATGAACATATTACTTACAATGTCTGATATATATACTCCAACATCATTACGTTTGCCAACTATACTAAGACCTAATCCACGGCCTTGTTTTTTATTGAGTTCTACTGTAAAAATATCATAAATGTCCTCTTCTTTGACTTGATTATCGTCACGGAAGACAAGAATTCCCACTGTAGCAGGAGTCTGACGTAGCACCTGTATTGCATAATCATGTGAAGCTTCTCGCAATTCCTCATTGTTCACCTACAACATAATATGTTAATTAATATATATGTATATACATGTTATATTACTTATAAAACATATCTAGTTTGTTATTTAAATTTTGTTTTTAAAGTCATTTTCTTTGATAATATAAGCAGTGGCTTAACTAAAAGAATAGATCAAGTCAAAGTATTAGAAAGGTCAATTAATTGTTTCTGTGAGTAAAGCAATGCAACTGCTACAAATAATGATAATAATTTTTTTTTCATTCAAATACAGATGAAATGTTAAAAGCTACTTTTTTATGGACAACAAATTTTGAATTTAACATTTCATTTGTCAGATATCACTTAATAAGATGGCTTCCACTTCTGAAAACAAAATCAAATGAATAATATATGACCATAAGGCACCATCAACTTTCTCCAAAGTAACAGTCTTAAATCTGCAATATTCTATTTAAACATTTATCAAATAGCTATCCTAAGCTGCTGACACGATTTTGAGCTACAAATTGGTCCGAGGACACAGTTATCGTCCTTTGATTTTTTTTTTGTCCACTAATATAGTCCCTAATGTGGACAGTGTATAACTTGCATACACTTTCCAAATTTATTTATTTTTATTTTTTACATGAAATATTTAGGGAGATAAAATTACATGTTAAAAAAAATCTGGGTGATGAATTTTTAGGTAAAGTAGTGATTTGGTCCAGTTAAAAAAGATAAAAAATTAGTATGTCTGAAGCTGTCAAACTGAATTATAGATCCCTGTAACATAGAATTGTCCATATTTTGAGTTAGAGCTGGTCGACTTTTCTATAATTTTGATATAATTTGTCCCAAAAGTTGTACATTACACTGTGAGATAGAGCAGGTGCGATTTATTCAATTTGAATTTATTGTCTAAAAGAAATGCACTACGAAATAACTGTGTTCTCGGGCCTAAGAGTTAAGTATTTGCATGAGCTTCTATTGATTTATGAGTATAATCTTTTTATAATTCATGGTAATCTTACCTCTAACACTTGATCACCAGCCCATAACCTCCCATCTCTGGAAGCTGCTCCATCTTCATAAACTTCATGTACAATTATAGCACCCTAGTAAAAAAAGAGTTAAAGGTAAAAATCTATCATTGTGCAATCAAATACGAAGTTATCACTAAAAACTGCAGTAAATTATTTGACATTTTTTTATCTTTAGTTTCGTCAATTCAATCCTTTAAAATTATATGAATAAATAAAAGTTCAATGCAAAATAAAAGTTGTGTAAATAAAGCTCCTAATTCCTGGTAGATAGAATGAATCCGTTAGCCTGGGATCCGGGCTCACTGTTAGAAAGTAGAGACAGGCAGAATACAATGACATGTATTTGTGAATTAGATGTTAGAACGATGTATTGTGGGATAGCATCATTTATTGACACATGGAGGGAAATATTTATATAGCCACGAAATGTTGAAAGTTATTTTAAAATTCATGTAAAATTCAATTTTCAATAAAAATATAGCAATAATAATCTAAACCTTACCGATTCAAATTGTGAATCAACAGTTAATTTACCATCAGATTTATATATTCCTTGTTATATATCATGTACAGACACAGTTATTCAGTCCTGTTCAGCACTAAAAAGTGGTCACATGGATTTTATTACGCCTGGTCTTAATGACACAAAGACTAGGTTGGTCCAGGATGCCACGTTACTTACTATATTTGTATATTTGATTAAATTTTGTTCATCTTAACACTTTGGTATAAAAATAAAGATGTGGTATGATGAAAATGACATTAAAAAAACAGTTGAATGAAACTTAATAATTTGAAATTATACAAACATACCAATAATGTATCATTGCCACCAACAATACTTAATCCCAACCCAGTCCTGCCTTTCTCTATTTCTATATAGGTCTCTCTTCCTGGAATGATGGGGCAGGTTTTAGGATCATTGGTTTCTGGTTGAGGACTTGTTTCTTCCATTGGATCTGTGGAAGTCTCTCCTAAAACACAAATATTCATCAATATCAATATACAAGGTATTATTTAATAAAAAAAAAAAAAAATAATAATATGACTTCTTTACAGTTGACGTCTATAATTATTTCATGATAAAAGGTAAAACACTTGATAAAAAAAATAGTCATTTATGGGCAATAACTATTAGCTCATTCCAACTAGTTTTTACAGTTTGTTCTTTGGTTGCAGATATTAAACAAACAACAATCCCTTTGTTTTGCAGTTACACCACTGTCCAAGGTTAGGGAAGGGGTTGAGCACTTACAGATATTTTAATTTGAACCCTGCCACATTCTTTATGTTCCTGTCCCAAGCCAGGAACTTGTAATTCAGTGTTTGTCATTGGTTGGTTGCTCTCTGCTAAGGTAGTTTTTCCTCAATTGCTTTAATATAAGTCATGGTGTTGGATTTGTTTTGAATTTTTTCCCATATTATCATCCTTAGCCCTTTCATACCTTACTATATGGTATGAGTTTTGCTTCTTGTTGAAGGCCATACTGTGACCTGTAGTTGTTCACAATCCTTGTCTTTTGGTCTTTGATGGATAGTTTTCATTGTAAACCATATCACATCTCTTGATTTTATATTCAAGATTTTAAACAACTTTTTGCGTGAAAGGCCAACTAAAATTAATTAGTAGATTTTCATCCAAATTTTTGAAAAAAATGGGGCGGGTGGGAGGATTTTATTTTTTAATTTTTATTTCCTGTGAAACACTTTTGTGACGTGTTCGTCATATTCCAGTCTGATTAAAACCAGCCCCACTATCCATTTGCCTTTGTAGATAGTGGGGACTGGTTTCAATCAGACTGTTCATATGCAAGGGTAATATTAAGCTATATCATGTTCATGTATATATATGTATTTATTAAAGTTGAGCATACACGTGTTTTCTATTATGTAAACAATCACACGTGATTGTGTGTCCGCATAGTGGTCATCTATTGGTGTTTATATTGGATAAACAGGTTTGTGTTTTAAATATATGATATTTCGGATTGGTCAATATTTGTTGCTTTGCGTAAATATATTGAGTATGATATTTGTTATGTAAATAGCACGGGATTTTTAAAGCGCGAATAGTTGTCTTGTTTAAGTAATTTAAGATATATGGTCATTCGAAGCTCGTATACCGTTCAGTAAGGCAGCTAAGTTTAGGTTAAGATATGTCGGAACCAGTACTCGATCTGAATGAAGAAGATTTGTTAAGGGATCCCTTACATGGTCAGCCCGAACGTCTTAACGCTTCCAATTCACAAGCTAATCAACAAAACCGTGACTTAGTAGACACTTTTGGGCTTTTTAAAGACTATTTGGATAAGAAACTTGTTGATTTAAAGTCCGACATTCTGTCAGAACAAGACTATTTATCCAAGAAATACAGAGATGAGGCTAATATTAAGTTCAAATCAGAAGGGATTCGGATTCAGTTTCGTTTTAATGAGAACATTATGGATGGTCTTAACAAAATCCACAAGGATCTTGTATCTGTTGCTTCCCCCCTTTCTTCTATTACTGGTGATTTGGTGGGTAAACTTAAAGAAAGGAACAAACTCATCAGGATCGCTGATAACTCCATTGGGGGATGGGTTACGGTTAGAGAATATGAAAGTAACGATATCGCCGAAAATGATGAGGACGAGAAAAAGATTCGCCAGGCCGAGACTAGAGCACTCAACTTCAAGTCAGCCACAGCTTCTGCACCCAGTTACCAGCCATCCAAACAGCAAGGATACAGTTACTGTTAATGATAAGTATCTAGATATAAGTTTGTTATCTTCTAGCTATGAATGCAATAACGACGAACTTGACGAATTTATGTCACAAGTTCAATTTCTTGAAAAATTAGATTTTTCTGCTAGTCATAACTTTAAAGGTGTTAAAGGCAGGCTTGCAAAACATTACGATTTTTGGGTTAAGATTGGAGCTAGTGATTTTGTTTTAGATACAACTAAAAACGGTTATGTAATCCCATTTTTAGTGCCTCCCCCTAGTATGCACATGAAAAACAATAAATCTGCTGTTTCTAACTCAGAATTTGTGGATAAAGCCGTTTTAGAATTAGTTGATTCTGGATGTGCATATGAAATTCCCTTTACGCCTTATATTGTTAATCCTTTATCAGTAGCCACCAATAAGTCCGGAAAAAAGAGGTTAATATTGGATCTTTCAATATTAAATAAATCCGTCAAAAAAGAGAGATTTAAATTTGAAGACTGGAAAACAGCTATTCAATTTTACAAAAGAGGTTCTTATCTGTTTAAGTTCGATTTAAAGTCTGGTTATCATCATTACGACATTCGTCCTCAGCAACAAACTTTTCTTGGTTTTTCCTGGAATAACAAGTATTACTGTTTTTCAGTATAAGTTTTTGGTCTAGCTTCTAGCCCTTACTTGTTTACCAAATGTTTGAGATCTATGGTCAAATATTGGAGACAAAATTCGATTGTTATTGTTTTGTTTGCATCGTGCAAAGATTGAGCTGGGATAAATTATTACAAATAGTTTATCCAGCTGAGATTTTGAATGAGCTTAAGTTCTGGAAATCTAATGTGCTTACTTTGAATAAAAAGAAATTGGCTATGTACAGCCCTTCTTCGATAGTAATTTTTTCAGATGCTAGTAATGTAGCCTGTGGGGCTTATACTGTAGAATTAGAAATAAGATTTTTCACAAAATGTGGAACGAATTAGAAAGATGCAAAACCTCCACCTGGAGAGAGATGAGAGCAATCGAACAGGCACTATTGTCGTTTAGTACTCTATTTATGGGCAAAAGTTTAAAATGGTTTACTGATAACCAAAACTGTGTACGTATAGTACAAGCTGGAAGCATGAAGGAAGATTTACAAAATCTTGCCTATTCTATATTTTGTATTTTTAAAGAGCACAATATATTCATTAAATTACAATGGATTCCCCGCACATTGAATTCAAAGCCAGATTACATTAGCAAAATGAGTGATCATGAGGATTGGCAAATTTCAAATGAATTTTTTGAATTTTTAGAAAGTTTATGGGGACCTTTTACTGTTGACAGGTTTGCTAGCGTGATGAATAACAAGACAAAAAGGTTTAACCCACTTTTCTGGAATCCGACCGCAGAAGCTGTAGATGCATTTACACAAAATTGGCATGGAGAAAATAATTGGCTTGTCCCCCCTATTTATTCAGTTATACGCACAATTAAACATCTGATTTACTGTAATGCTAAAGGGTCTTTGATTGTCCCACGATGGGTGTCTGCGCCATTCTGGTCATATATTTTTAATAAAAACTTGACTTACAAAGCTTATGTTAAAGATGTGCTAGAATTTAAAGATACGAATAGAATCTATTCAAAAGGAAGTAGTCCGAAGTGTATCTTTGGAACTGAAAATTTTTTATCAACTGTTCTCGCAGTTAGACTAGACGCTAGTCTGTGATTTTTCACATGGTCCTGATATCAATTTCGGTATTGCAGAGGCATGGTGATGAGATTTTACGTTGTACATATTACTCAGTTGAGAATGTAAAAGATGAAGGATTTTTAGCGACATGGCCCTAGTATCATATGTTGTAGTATGATATTGTAGTAGGCACGGTTGATTGTTTAATGTCATATGCATTTTATTATAATAATTTATATGAATACTTGTTTAATTTTCCTTTATTGGGTAACACATTTTTCAGATGTTTTCAAAACCGGAGGATGGATTGATATTAGTTCTTTTCGTCAGTCACAATCTCCATCCATGCAGCTCCTTGTAGACCAGATACCTTCCTTTTGTTTGTCATCTAGAGCACCCAACACTCAACGACAGTATAGATATGTTTTCAACGCTTTTTGTAAGTGGTGTTTATCTATTAATATTTCAAACACGTTACCTACTTCAGTTATTTCTGTCGCATCGTATTTAGTTTATTTGACTAATATTGGTAAATCTACTAGCAGCATAAATGAAGCTTTTTATGCTATAAGTTGGGCTCATAGATTAGCCCGAGTTGAAAATCCGTGTAAATCGGATTTGGTTATTTCTGTGAAGGAAGGATCTTTGAGATCTGTTGGACACATTGTGGTTAAGAAAGAACCTATAACACCAGAAATTTTGTATCAAATTGTTATGCTTTATGGTAACGATAGATCTAATCTTAAAGATGTTAGAATAGCATGTATGTGCCTTATAAGTTTTGCTGGATTTTTGAGGTATTCAGAATTAGCAAATCTGACAAGAAATAATATTGTTTTTCATGATTCGTACATAGTTTTTACTGATAGAGAGTAGTAAAACTGATATTTACCGGGAGGGTAGAGATGTACTCATTTCAAAAACAGACAAAATTACATGTCCCGTTAAAATGTTGATGAAATATTTAGATTTAGCAAACATCAAGTCAGACAGTAATGATTTGATTTTTCGTCCTTTATCTTTTTGTAAATCTGTAAATGGTTACAAATTAAGAAATGGGAAGCTTTCTTATACTACTGCAAGAGAAATTCTGTTATCTACTTTAACATCTATTGGATTAGACAAAAAGTATTTTGGTTTGCATAGTTTGAGGTCTGGCGGCGCCACTGCTGCTGCAAATGCGCATGTGGAAGATCGAATCTTCAAAAAACATGGTCGCTGGAAATCAGACCAGGCTAAGGACGGATATGTCAAAGAGAACATCAGTGAACGTCTGACAGTAACTAAAAATTTAGGAATTTTAAAAACACACATTTGCGCCTCTCAGCACATGCTGGCGAGCTATTCCTATGTAACAAGTGTTTGTTTTTATTTTATATATACTTTATACGGTTTGAGGTGACGAATTAGAATATAAATGTATTTATTAAAGTTGAGCATACACGTGTTTTCTATTATGTAAACAATCACACGTGATTGTGTGTCCGCATAGTGGTCATCTATTGGTGTTTATATTGGATAAACAGGTTTGTGTTTTAAATATATGATATTTCGGATTGGTCAATATTTGTCGCGTTGCGTAAATATATTGAGTATGATATTTGTTATGTAAATAGCACGGGATTTTTAAAGCGCGAATAGTTGTCTTGTTTAAGTAATTTAAGATATATGGTCATTCGAAGCTCGTATACCATTCAGTAAGGCAGCTTGGTTTAGGTTAAGACCCCTCTCCTCCCCCCCCGTTTTTATATATTTTATAAATACTTTATATGCGTTTGAGGTGACGAATTAGAATATAAAAGGAATTCTACATAATTTTTCAAATTCTTATTAAATATTTCTGATTGGCAACCACTGTTCTACATGTAATTGCCGCAATAGAAACCTATTTTTGGTAAATAGCAAAAAGGTGGAGAAATGCTATCTTTTAGACTACATCAAATTTATTTATGGTTTGTAGTGCCCATTACAAGTATTATGAGTACAGAGTAAATGAAAACTCAATCTGTGTTGAAAATACTAGAGTTAATGATTTTAAGATTCTTATGCAGTCGTCCAAAAAATACAATGTAAAACATGAACTTAACAAAAAAGAAGAAGTTGTTTAATGACTCTATTGAGGGGTTTGAGACATAGGGTGTTTGCTGTTATTCCACAAAAAACGACAGCCTTGGGGGTAAATCTAAGGGCTTACTATAATACATTTTGTACGTTCAGCGATTTTTTGTACTCAATATATGGTCATAGATCGCACAAGTTCATGCTTGTGTCAATTTCTTTATTCCAGTCATATTTTTTTTGTAGTAATGTGTCCCATGATTCTTGCGCTTTGGATATCATTTACAGTCCAAATTTACTAACACAAAGTCATTGTATAAATAAAAAAATCCACGGTTTTCTAATCATTGAAATTTGTGACATACCGCGATTTGTGTTCTTGGACACCGCTATTATCGGAAGATAATGTTGTCATCATAGAGCAGCAGAATTTTTCGACTTCATCATTTTGGTTAAATTACTCGAAGAAATACGAAAAACCAAAATTTGCTACAGGAAGTTTTACATGAAACGAAATTATCGGTGGTTACCGGTAACGGAAATGAAAAAAAAAACGGAAATCATAAATTTTTGAAAATAAAAAAAATCAGGGCGGGACGATTTCAGAGGGACGGGCGGGGATGAAAATCTATCAATTAATTTTAATTGGCCTAACCCTTAAGTTCTAGTTTTTGCCATGAGGGCCATGTTAGTTGGTCGGCAAAAAAACATAACAAACTATATACAAGATATCCCAAGGATCATTCAGACCAAGTTTGTTTGAAATTGGTCCATTGCTTTCAGCAATTTTTAAAAAGGTTAATGTCATCGGACCACAAAGATCAACACCCTAGTGATTTCAATAGTTCATATTGCCCTGCCATAATAAGCCAGGTGAGTAATAAATATTCTCTTTTGGTTTTGGAAAATATTGTTAACTCCATGTAAAAAGTCAATATATTTCTTAATACTTAAATTACTTCTACACTGGATTTCTTATCAATTTTGTTTGTAAGCTTCAATCCCCCCCTCCCCTTGCCCCCTAAAAAAAACTAGGTTTTTAATCTTGGCAAAAATCCTTGTACTTTCAGCATTGTAAAGTATGTTTGATTACACGTTTAATAAAAATACACTTTACCTGTAATACTGTCCAACTGAAAGACTGGAGGTGGGTGTGAACTAGTTCCGCTGTTATTTATTGTGTCTACTCCACATTTTCTAACTTTTAATCGGACTGTTCCCTGACTATTTCTTAAAATTTCTATTGCCTAAGAATTTAAAATGAAGCAGTTAAAACTATAACAAAAACTAAAAATTATGAAAGCTGCATCAACTCTCTAAAATTATTAGTGAAAAACATACACTGCATACCACAGTCAAAAATATTCAATATTGCACTAATAAAATAAACAATGCATTCTTTATTGTTTACATTTTAATGATGTATGACAGATTCTTCATGAACTGGCATTGTCATGTTGATAATGAACTTTGAAATTTATCAGTGTCATTATCAAATATATATATACTGTGTTTAAAATAGTCTGTGCATTGGCATGATTTTGCCCCTATGTTTTTTTCATAATTTTTGGAATGAAGAACGTCTTTATTAAAATAAATTAAGAGATAATACAAAGTTTGATAGAACATGATTTATTTATCAGTTGTAATTGGCTATTTTTAGCTTTCAGCATCTGCCAATACTCATAGATTGGTACTTTGTGTCTTTTGTCTTAATGTTGGTTGTTTTTTGTGTTTCTAATGAGTCAAGCCATTTCCAACTGATTTTTACAATTTTTTCTTATGTTGTACTGTTACACCACTGTCCAAAGTTTGGGTAGGGTTGAGTACTCAAAAACATGTTTAATCCTGCCATATTCCATATGTGTCTGTCCCAAGTCAGGAGTCTGTAATTCAGTGGTTTGTCATTGGTTGCTGTCCATCTTATTTATTTTTTATTTATTGTTTTGTTATTAATTAAGCTGTGTTTTTTTCTGTTTGAATTGTTTCTCATTTTGTCATGTCAGAGCCCTTTATAGCTGACTACAGGGTATAGGTTTTGCTTATTGTTGAGGTCAGTATGGTGACCTATAGTAGTTTTTATCTGATTCATTTGGACTCTGCTGGATAGTTGTCTCATTGCCAATCATACCACAACTCCTTATTTTATTTTTACTTCCAATCAATTTCGGTTAAATGGTAAGAATATTCTTAGACTCATAATCTTTTTTTGATTAATACTAAAAAAAAAGTTAAAATCTATTAAAAAATTGAAGTTTTAAGCAATCTTTTAGCCATTTTTAAAATTAGTTATTGAAAATTTAATGACCTTTTTGTTGTCGGTTGAAATCCTACAAAAAGTTCCTAGACTAGGGCAATTAAAAAAACTTGCATATGATGTAGGCACTTGTCCATGATTGAAAAATATAAAGGGACAACTAGATGTTTACGTTGGTTAACTTGTGTAGTAGGAGTTGTCTTATTCATTTATGTAAGTCCACATCTGCTAATATTCTTAACCCCACACCTGCTTTTGTTCCAACAAAACTGTGGCAGACAAGATAACATTGTCCTCACTACACTAATTCAACTGACTTCTAAGTAGAACACCATAAGATTTAAAACATGTGCCAATCCTTTAAAGTTGCTGAGCTGATTATATTTGTTTATATCTTATTTCACTTCAAACATAACAGCATCAAGTTAGGAGGTTATTATCAACTAGATAGCTCATTTTAAATTTTTTTCACGAATAAAAAATCATGTTGTCACTGTTCATCATTTATAAACAACTGAAAGTCAAGCACTTATAACAAAACTGTACAAAAAATAACCAAATTTGGAGTAAATTAATATTTTTTTTACTTTTAAAATTGCAAGTGATTTTTAATATCTTTTGGATCTTGATGTCAGCAATTGCTTGTAGATCAGATATTAAAATTTACAAAAAAATCAGTATTTTTCCTCATAACTGCATTCTAATTTTGCCAGAAAATAAAGGACCAGAGGATTGGTAACAGCAACAATATAGTTTCATACAATAAACATATTTAGGTACTATTAAAGTTTGAACTTTTTTTTCCTTTAAATTGAATATGAAGAATTTTTAACTAAAACATATCAGGAGGACCTAATAACACAGCTTTCTGCTCCACACCCTATAGTCTTTTAAAAACTTAAATACCTTGTCATAATGCACATCACTGAGCTGTTTATCACCAACTTCTAATATCTGGTCACCTACACTTAACTGACCATCCTGCAATGGATTAAAACAGTCATTCGATTCACCATTTTAGAATCTAATGCATTATCCGTAATATCTCACAAAACCTTCGCAGAAAACATTGTGGCAAGCCAGCAATGTCCTCAATTATCAATGGTGCAATATTATTTACATTTTGGTGTATGAAAAATGAAGTTACCCACAATTCCTTAGATTTTGAAACCGCTAATAACCGATTCTCATTTCATCTTAGTACTACAACTGAACTGGGTTTCGTGCATGTTCTCAACTATTTAAATATTAGGACAGTATGATAAAGGTGTACGGTTTGAATTGTTCCCATTCTGTAAGACAAGGATAATTTTTCCTCAGAGATGCATAATACAATCTTAACATTTTGTGGATTTAAGAGACAAGTGAATTGTAAGAAGCTATTTTTTCTACTAAAACATTTTGTGGTCTAATAGTGAATTGAATAAAGTTATTTTCAGAAGTCACTATGACTAAAACTTTTTGGGGTCTAAAACAGAGATAACAATATATAAGATTAACTCTGTCTGTTTTTAAACATTATCAATCAAGTTCTCATGGACATCATTTTAAATAATATCTACAATCAAGAAATTTTTATGAGATGTATCAAATATTAACAAAACACAAAATGAAAGATTGCTGTTGATGAAATTCTGTGCATCTAAGATCATTTGACATTTCAATGGACAAAAAATTGTGTGGGTGCTACTTTTATCTAATATGGATAAAAGTGTAAATACAAAAGCATGTTGGGTTTTATTATCAAAGAACATCAGATTGTTTTGATATGAATATATTTTTATTAACATCTGTATTAACTATATTGGTATCAAAATTATCTATTTCTTTCAGGAAGGCTATACTCAAATGTCATCAAATCGTTAAAATAAAAATTGATTCTTTACTCCCTTACGAACTGGGACATCCCATAGTGTCTAACATTAGCCTAAAACAAAATATTTTTCGTTAAAGAATAAAATTTCCATTTACCTGAGAGTTTTACAGCCATTTAGAAAGATTTAAATGGACCCCCCATTTCATGACTTTATTCAGCTAAGTAATGATAACAATTTACCATATGTGACCAAAATAATTAATTGGCATTTAAATACCAGAGTTATTATGATAAGCGACATGTTTTATCTATAAATGGAAAGTGTTATTTTAAACAGTTATTAAATATATTAAATATCATATCAGCTTATTAGGGGGGTTTCAGATAACAAGAGGAAACCAAATAGGGGTAACTAAAACTAACAGCAGGAGGTTTATGTAACATACCATAATTATACAATTAAGAATTTGGCTTACATCTATACACACAGCCAGTAACCACCCACTTAGTGATGCCCGATTTGGATATAATTGTGGTTTCCTGTAAGCTTGGAGATTATATATGATATTACAGCCGAGTTTGTAGTAATCCGTAATGGATAACTGTTATGATTTTAAAAGGGGTAATAATCAATTGTTCCTATTCCTACCATATTACAACCGTGACGTATCGTCTAAGTAGCAAATTTTTAATTATTAAATTAAATGACTGAAACTTTTCAATGATGAATGAAATCCATCATTGACCATCCTTTATGTGTCATAACACAAATCGAGATAAAATCAACAAAAGTACAAATGATTCTACTATTTTCTGAGTATTTTACCACTGCATGTTCACATCTTTAACAGCCAACTTGAACAAAGAGCATTTTTGAAGGTGATTCTAAATATTTTACAACAGTTGGATTGTTATTATCTCAAGAAAAAAGCATGTGTCATCCACTTAGTTGATTTAGTACTGTTGTTGTATGAATGAACAACTGACAGACAGATACCATTTTGAAAAAGGACCATGAGAGATCTATTTCACCAGTCCAAAAGTAGAAATCAAGAAGAAAAAATTTAAATTTTACAATATTCCCTGTACTTTTTTTTATTTAGAGTAATTCTCCTGTGTAGCATCAACTTTGTGAAAACTTGATATAAAATATTTCAAATGATTGTTCATAAAGTTTTAGAAGTGGAAATAGAAGGTTATTTTGCTTTTAATCTATTATTATTGGGAAATGCAAATTCAAACTGATGTTTGAAATAAAACACGTATAAAGGAATTGCAAAATTTTAAGTTTTTTTTTAAAATTGTTTTACTTAAAAAGAAAGACAAAAAATAATTTGACATATTCCAACATTTAAAGGGCCCAAATGGTAAAAATCTCCCAAGATGAAGTTAAAAGACATAAATAATTCAATTATATAATGATAGAATATCCCCATTTGTTTTACCTGACTGACATATATAGGCTATTGTCAATACTGATTTCTCAAAAAAATCCTGAACTGTTTTTGCATCATTTTAAATTACTTTTTGAGACTTTATTGGAGATTCATTTAAATGTGATATATCTATAAATAGCATACCTGAGCTGCAACACCACCTTGTGTTATACTGCGAATATAAATGCCTTGACGATTATCCCGCATTTCTTCTACTATTGCAAAACCTAATCCAGACACTCCCTACATTAAAACATATACAATTCTTCACTTTAAGAATTCTATGAGCCTGGCAGTTACATAAATCATGTACATTTTTTCACTTCAAAAGCTCAACTATATTTACATATATCTGTGTTTTCTCCAGATTTTTTCGCATTTAAAATTTTCGATATGATTTTACCTGAATTAGCAACATGTATTCTGTTATTTAAGCTCATTCAATAACTCACTTTTCTGTTATTTTAGCTTATTGAATAACTCACTTTATCTTGGTACATTGTATTGCCAAACTAGTACCAGATTCAAAATATAAATATGATGTCAGAAAAGTTTAAAAGCTGGAGAAAAAACAGTTGAAAAATGCAATGCTGTAAGTCATATGGCTGAACCATACCAAGTCATATGGCTGAACCATACCAAGTCATATGGCTGAACCATACCAGGTCATATGGCTGAACCATACCTGAGATTTACAAACAAACTCATGATAAATGAATGCATAATAGCAAAATATATTTTCATAAATATGAAAATAGTATGAATTCATACCTGCCAACTTTTCAAAATCTCCATGGGGGATTTTAAGCGCAAGAGAAGATAATGCTCCTCTTATATTGTCATAAGTGTTTTTAATCTACTACTATGTTGTTTAAATGAATATGTATGTGCTTAAATACCCTTGTAACTAATTTGAATGCCTGTTTTGAGATGTTCAGTTTATATAATAAAGAATTTCAAAATTCAGGTCAACATCTCTCATGGGATATCCCCCATAAATCCGGATAGTTGGCAGGTCTGTGAATTGCTTAGCTAGCAAATCTATAAACAAAACAGTTTCAAACATAAAAATTCTATTAATATTTAATAGTAACCTTTAAAGTCTAAAAGAAATATTCCTTGGAAAAATATGTGCAATCAATGTATGGTCTGCTTTGTACTTCAAGGGTTCAAAATAATATACTTAGAGAGACATAGAAAACATGCACTTTAATCAGTAGTATTCCACGTGAATAAATAAAATACAATCCATAATTGGATACTCAATTTATCATTTAAAAACAATGTGACTAAGCAAGGACCATATGCTTGTCTTTTGACCAACTGACCATAACATCAATGGGCTTCACCCCTTTCCTACTTTCAACCACTTTAAAAAGTTTTATTAAAATCCAACAAGTGTACCTTAAGAAATTACACAGAAACTATTTTTAGCAGCTGTTACCTCAACCTTTGACCTATTGGCCAGAAAATCAATAGGATTTTTTCTTAATCTATATCTTCCATCTATGCAAGATTCATTTTAAAACAACAAAATAAACTCAAGTTACCATCTGGAAACCAATTTTTTCCAAAATATTAGATTTTTAGTAACAATGAACTTGAACTCTGATGCCAAAATCAAGTTTTATTTCTCCTCTCCTATAGCTTCTATCTGTATAAGCTGTGTTCCAACTAAGCAAAGGAAACTCAAGTTACCATCTAAAAAGCATTTTGCCATAAATATTCTATTTTTTGTTTAAGTGACCTATTTTCATCATGAGATCATCAATGTATTAAAATCTGGCCTAATAAGTTCACTACAAACACTCTTGTATATCATTAGCAATACACTTATACCTACCTTTTGAAGGGAAACTACTTGGACAACATCAAGTGCAGAAGGAATGTTTTCAGGGGAGGTAACTGGCTTCTTAGGAGGTGAAGGGGATGTCGATATATCCTACAATAACCATACATATATATCAACATGTTATAAAAGATCAAATTATTCTTATCTTCATTTTTATAACTATCACTGACAGTAAGAGATAGATTATATGTAATGGAATAATAAAAATACAGTAATCCAATGTACAATACTATCTCATCATTAATAGCTACACTATTAAACTGATCATAATATATTGCTATACATGTTGATTACCGTCTCATTGGTTTAACCAATCATAAGAACTGTCACAAGTGTTATCAACCTATATGTAGATTAACCAATCATTAGAACTGTCACAAGTGTTATCAACCTATATGTAAATACATTATGACATTAAGAACTGCTTGTGTAAGAAAATAATTTCCTAATTATGAACATATCTGAAAAGTACCGGTACTTCATGAATTTTTTCCAACAACCAAGAAAATTCTGTTGCTTCTTTGTTAAGGTCATGAGCAAAGAACTCGCTTCATTTTGGGATGACAGAAGTTATCTGTTAATAAATTGCAATGAGAATGAAAACTGTCAAAATAGATGAATTCTATTATTAATGTTGGATTTTAAGTTATAATTCTTTTGATTGTTCAATCTTAAACTGTATTATTTCACATCCCAAATAAGCATGAAATATTTGCCACTGGAAGTTGAACAAGGAACAATGAAACAATGTCTTTTTTATGGCTCAATAGTAACTGAACTTTTCAACATCTGAATCACTTAAAAATTCCCATGCATCAAAGTACAGTTCAATTAACATACAAAACTTTGACCAATATATCCCTCATCAATATTTGACATATTGTCTGCTAGATAGATGTTCATTATCTAGAAAGCAAAAATACACACAAGAACAGCATTCAAAACATAGGGCATAACTCTAGTAAATCAATCTTATCATAATAATACTCTTATTGTTAGCATTGGAAAACTTACAAAGCAATTTTTCATGTAAAAAGTAAAATAACTAAAATACCTAACTCCAAGGAAAATTCAAAACGGAAAGTCCCTTATCAAATGTCAAAATCTAAAGCTCAAACACATCAAACGAATGGAAATATTAATTTATTTCATATGGGTATTAAACTTTGAAATTTGTATCTGTATATTGTTGATATAAACCTTTGAAAAAAAGATCATGATGGTGCACCTGATGACGAATGTTATGCCTTTGATAAATTGAGCATGAATTTGTATGTTGTAAAATCTCCTTGCTCAGGGTTCTCAAAAGGAAATGAAGTGTATGGTCAAATATTTATTCACCTACACATTTTGAGAACCCTACTTGGTGATACTTTGTTTGTTTTATTATTTAAGCAATGATAACTTACTTCTGTGGAGCCTGGAGGAAATGATCTTAGAGGTTTCACTGCCATTTGATCTAAGTTATCTTCTCTTCTACAAAACAAAAACAATCATCCAAAAATAAGAAACAAGCCTGAATTATACAGATACAATCATAGAGACCTAAAAAGTTGAAACCTAAAACTGTATAAAGTTCATTAAGGAAACTATTGACTGAACTCTAGTGTGAGATACAAATCTTTCTTGTGTCTTTATATCAAAATTAAGTTTGTATATGAAGAAATCATTACCTATAAAGTACACAAAAGATAAGTATTTTCATGATGCTACATTCCTTTTATCATAAAGGTCATATTTCTGTCCATTTTGAAAATGATATATCCAAAACTGGGAATCAGACATTCAATGGTTGTCCTTGGTCAAATTTGTTGTCTGCCTGAGCTCTTATTATTCTAATATTTTGCTAAGATCATTGGTCTTATATAATAATTCTGTTTGAACTCTATGGGACCTTTATGACCTCTTGTGTGATACAAGTTTTTGCTTACTGTTAAGGAGGAATTCATGTAAATTAAATAAAATGCTCCGCTGGGGCACAGCTTGATACGACCGCAGAGGTCGAACCCTGAACAGTTGGGGCAAGTATGGACACAACATTCAAGCTTGATACAGCTCTGAATTTGGATTGTGATTAAATATTTGACACAGCATAGGTTTCTGACACAGAATGAATGTGGTCTAAGAAAATTTCAATTTACCTATTCAAACCATATCATTATTATTTGCTTTTATATATAAATCAGAAATAACCAATTTAAAATGGAAAATTTTAAAGAAAAAAAAAATGAAAAAAAAATCCCCCCTCCCCAAAAATTTATTGAACCCCCTTATGATTCATCACCCCAAAACTCAATAACAGCCTTCCCTTTGTGGTATGGTACCTTGCAGTACAATTTCAGAGAGATCCATACACTTGATCACAAGTTATTGTCTGGAAACTAGAAAAATGCTTGTTTTTTGGCCCCTTTTTGGCTCCAAATTCCTAAACGTTTAGGGCAATTACCCCCAAACTCAAACCCAGCTTTCCCTTTGTGATATGGAACCTTGTAGTACAATTTCATAAAGATCCATACACTTATACACAAGTTATTGTCCTGAAACTAGAAAAATGCTTGTTTTTTGCCCCTTTTTGGCCACTAATTCCTAAAATTTTGAGGCAATTACCCCCAAAATCAATCCCAGCCTTCCCTCAGTGGTATGGTACCTTGCAGTACAATTTCAGAGAGATCCATACACTTGAACACAAGTTATTGTTTGGAAACTAGATAATGCTTATTTTTGGCCCCTTTTTCCTAAAAGTTTTGAGCAATTACCCCCAAACTCAATTCCAGCTTTCCCTTTGTGATATGGAACCTTGTAGTACAATTTCAGAAAGATCCATACACTTACAAACAAGTTATTGTCATGAAACTAGAAAAATGCTTGTTTTTGCCCCTTTTTTGGCCCCCAATTCCTAAAATTTTGAATCAATTACCCCCAAAATCAATCCCAGCATTCCCTTTGTGATATGGAACCTTGAGGTACAATGTCAGAGAGATCCATACACTAAAACACAAGTTATGTCTGGAATCTACAAAAATGCTGATTTTTGGCCCCTTTTTGGCCCCTAATTCCTTAACTGGTACCATAACCCCCTAAATCAATCCCAACCTTCCATTTGTGGTATTGAACCTTATGGTAAAATTTCATAGAGATCCATTCAATTAAACTAAAAGTTAGAGTGCGAAAACCAATGTGTCTTCGGACGACGACGACGATGACAATGACGCCAACGTCATACCAATATACGACCGCAAAATTTTTTTGCGGTCGTATAAAAATTAATGCAATGTTCATAATAAATTTTACATTTCAGTGAACTTTCCATGATTTGTATTAATAAAGTCATGTCTTAATTTCCAATTTAAAATACTTTTTTCCAGCTTTTAAAAGGAAAATGTTAGTTTGTTAATAATTTAAAACCCCGGAAATGAAAAATCCGTAAATCTGTATGTATCGATGTATAAGCATGGTACACACTAGGAAATATTTTAACTTTTTATTCTCTATTGTGGGTTAATAATATTTTCTTTTCATAATTTTCAACAAAAATGTATTTATCTTTAGCAAGTATGAAGTGATGACAATGCAAACATATTATAATTAATGATTTTAAGCATGATTTGTTCCACATGATAATTTTTTTGTCAGGAAATGAGATGCTTTGTAGTTTGAATGTAACACCAGATTATTTTGTAGAAGATCAAAAAGGATAAAACACAGCTTTTATGCATCCATTATCTTCTAAAATGAATTAACTTGAGTTGGGTACAATTAGTTCCTCCTCAACCTTGTAAAATATCCATTTTTTTTTTTACATTAACCTGTCATCAGAATCACTACAAAATGGAGAAGATATTGCAATTCTGAAAACTTTAATGTCTCAAAAAGGGAATAAATAAGTTTACTATTATTGAAGTAGGGACATTGGACTCGGACTTCTCTCGTGCTGAGTTTTACTGTACGTACTGTTGGTGTTTGTTTTTTCTACATTGGCTAGAGGTATAGGGGGAGGGTTGAGATCTCAAAAAACATGTTTAACCCCGCCGCATTTTTGCGCCTGTTCCAAGTCAGGAGCCTCTGGCCTTTGTTAGTCTTGTATCATTTTTAATTTTAGTTTCCTGTGTATAATTTGGAGTTTAGTATGACGTCCATTATCACTGAACTAGTATACATATTTGTTTAGGGTCCAGCTGAAGGACGCCTTCGGGTGCGGGAGTTTCTCGCTGCATTGAAGACACATTGGTGGCCTTCGGCTGTTGTCTGCTCTGTGGTTGGGTTGTTGTCTCTTTGACACATTCCCCATTTCCATTCTCAATTTTATTTTTTATACTATTGCCTACAGAGTTTGAGGGATGATATTGCCTACAGTGTTTGATGGATGTTATTTCCTACAGTGTATGAGTGATGTTATTGCCTATAGAGTTTGAGGGATGTTATTGCCTACAGAGTTTGGAGGATGTTATTGCCTACAGAATTTGAAGGATGTTACTGCCTACAGAGTTTGAGGGATGTTATTGCCTACAGAGTTTGAAGGATGTTATTGCCTACAGAGTTTGAAGGATGTTATTGCCTACAGAGTTTGAAGGATGTTATTGGCTACAGGGTTTGAAGGATGTTATTGCCTACAGAGTTTGAAGGATGTTATTGCCTACAGAGTTTGAAGGATGTTATTGGCTACAGAGTTTGAAGGATGTTATTGGCTACAGAATTTGAAGGATGCTATTGCCTACAGAGTTTAAAGGATGTTATTGCCTACAGAGTTTGAGGGATGATATTGCCAACAGAATTTGAAGGATTTTATTGCCTACAGAGTTTGAAGGATGTAATTGCCTACAGAATTTGGAGGATGTTATTGCCTACAGAGTTTGGAGGATGTAATTGCCTACAGAATTTGGAGGATGTTATTGCCTACAGAGTTCCTTTCTATCATATCATTCTGCTACAACTACTGTAAAATGACCAATTGTTATGATTGAATTATTTATACAACATTGGTGTGTTAAAAAATAAAGCATATTTATTAATCAGCATTGCCAGACTTGGAGCTTTTCTTATATGAATGCATCAACAGAGATATGGCAAAACTATATAACTGCAATGTTGTCAAGAAAAGGTTAAAAGAAGAGAAATAAATAGGTTTGCACTATTTCTTTATCCTTACCTGACTAGAACTATTTTTACCACATTAGTTGATACGCTTTTGATGATAGCCGAGGCATTCAAATGACTTCTGCCATATAGCACCTGCCCATTAACCTAAAATTATAATCAAATTCAAATTTCAAATCAATACTTTCTCACCAAGAACAATGAAATTTGAACTTAATGCACAAATTAAGCAACAATAACGATTTATTTTACATAAGTGAAAATCTGTTGGCTTTATTCTTTTTTAAATTATGTTTTATTTCAACTTTTACTAATATATATGTCTCAGATTTAAATTTAATCAAAAGAAGCTAGAATGTATGTTATTTCTAACATTTTATGTCTGTTTTAATAAAAAAAATGTTTTGAGTTGACCAACTGATTTCAACTTTTATTGCTTTTTTAATCAATGTTTCAGTTATAATAGCCAAAGCTGACTTCTAAAGAGAAAGTTATTAAAGTTATTTATTTCATTTGAGCAATATTTAGTATCTTTGAAATCTAACTTTTACTTGGTAACCTCAAAATCAAAAGGGCCGTAAATATGACCATATATAAAAGTAAGTTTCCAATCCAATATAATGTATATGAGTAAGCATCCTGAGACAAAAATGACTAACAGACTAATTAGTCAAAAACAATATACCTCCCTCCCCTTAACTCTGTAGTGTGGGGTATAAATTAAGGGGTACACATTCTTGTTTTCTTGTTATCTAAATAACAGGATCAAATTTGATTCATTTAGAGTAATGTCAAATACTTTTACTCTTTCATCCTGAACTATACCCAATTGTGCAAAAGGTACTTTTCCTGGCATAAATCTTAGAATCTCTAATTCATGAACAATTAAGAATTCAACTGATACCTCTAATAATTCATCTCCAATTTCAATACGTCCATCTTTAGCTGCCACACTTTCTGGCTGGATACCAGCCACGAACACACTCATTGTGTTACGATCTTTGTTCCCTGCTAGACTGATCCCTAACCCATTGCCTCCTCTAGTTAAGTCCACTAAATGAACTTCACCTCCTAAGTCACCATATCTTCTGAGAACTCTCTCTGCAAAATTAAATACAAAACATATGTAATCAAATGATCTCAATATAGAAATATGGAGATGTGGTTTGATTGCCAATGATACAACTATAGACCAAAGGACGAGAACATAAAAAACAAAAGGTCACCATATAATCTTCAACAAAGAGCAAAATCCATACAGTATAGAAAGCTAGAAAAGGCCCTACGATAACAGAATATGATCCAATTCATAAGAGAAAACGACAGTCTGATTTATGCTTATATTTTAAAATGAAAAATAATTATGGCAGACAGCAACACACAACAAACACTTGACTACAAACATCTAGTTTGAGACAGGCACATAAAGAATGGTGTAACAGTTCATCATTAGAACAAATTGTTAAATCAGTTGAAAAAAGATTGACTCATCAGAGTACAAAGTATTTTAATACAAGAGTGCACACGCTGAAATGTCTCGCCTTCTTTACTAATCATTGATATTATGTTGATAGTCCTAAATATAAAGCTTTATTACAACTGTCACATAAACTTAACATTAACCAAGTAAACTAAACATTGACCAATGAACCATGAAAATGAGGTCAAGGTCAGATGAACCATGCTAGGCAGGCATGTACAGCTAACAATTCTTCCATACAACAAATATAGTTGACCTATTGCTTATAGTTTTAGAAAAACAGACCAAAACACAAAAACTTAACACTGAGCAATGAACCTTGAAAATGAGGTCAAGGTCAAATAAAACCTGTGTGACTGACATATAGATCATAAAATATTTCCATACACCAAATATAGTTGAACTATTGCATATAGTATTAGAAAAAAAGACCAAAACTCAAAAACTTAACTTTGACCACTGAACCATGAAAATGAAGTCAAGGTCAGATGACACCTTCCAGCTAGACATGTACACCTTACAATCATTCCATACACCAAATATAGTAGACCCATTGCACAAAGTATAAGAAAAACAGACCAAAACACAAAAACTTAACTATAACCACTGAACCATGAAAATGAGGAGAAGGTCAGATGACACCTGCCAGTTGGACATGTACACCTTACAGTCCTTCCATACACCGAATATACTAGACCTATTGCTTATAGTATCTGAGATATGGACTTGACCACCAAAACTTAACCTTGTTCACTGATCCATGAAATGAGGTCGAGGTCAAGTGAAAACTGTCTGACGGGCATGAGGACCTTTCAAGGTACGCACATACCAAATATAGTTGTCCTTTTACTTATAATAAGAGAGAATTTAACATTACAAAAAATCTTAACTTTTTTTTCAAGTAGTCACTGAACCATGAAAATGAGGTCAAGGACATTGGACATGTGACTGATGGAAACTTCGTAACATGAGGCATCCATATACAAAGTATGAAGCATTCCAGATCTTCCACCTTCTAAAATATAAAGCTTTTAAGAAGTTAGCTAACACCGCCGCTGCCAGATCACTATCCCTATGTCGAGCTTTCTCAGACAAAAGTCGCAGGCTCGACAATAAAAATAAGATGTTGAATGATTGCCAAATAGACAACTATCAACCAGAGACCACTTAACCAGAGACCAAATGGTGTAGAAGTAAGCAACTATAGGTCATCATGTGACCTTGAACAATGAACAAAACCCATGCCACATAAGAAGCTACAAAAGGCTGCATATCCCATAGCAAACTATATAAGTTCTTTTTAAACACGTTTCCAGGACTAAATCTTAAAGCCCCCTCAAATTCAAAGTACCATTTAAAGATGAATTTAACTTCACATTTGTTCAGTACTTTCAACTTAAACTAATATAAGTAAAAAAAAATAACGCACCAGAGGGGAAAAATGACATAAAAACATTAGTTAAAAGTTATCTGGCTTTAATAGACTTGAAATATAATCCAAAGTTTGAGCCAATTAATAAATGTTATATAAAAATGCTATATAACACTTCCTGATTACAATATTGTTTGACCCTAATAAACAGGATTCAATTATTTTCTACAGTGCATTACGAACTCATATTCTATATAAAACTAAAGGTTGTGACAAATTAACACAGATCTATCAATATCTCAATGCATGGATTCTGGGAATCTTGGAATTAGAGCAGGTTATGTTACCACAAATCATGTCATCTTATACAAGTTTTTTAACTACATCCTGGTTTAGTACAGTGATGTCATGTCTGTTATCACTTTAAAACTACTGCAATTAAATGTTTTTGTTTGTCTACATTAGGGAACCAGACAATCAAACAGACAAGATGATCCAACTACCTATATGGACTAGCTTGTTAGCAGATTTCAGAATATGAAAGAAGCTAGATTGATTGATTGATTGGTGCTTATGTCTCGTGGCAAATATTACATGCCTAATCAGGATGAATGAGCATATTGTGCTTTGTTCTCGACTGAAATGCTTAGTTTAGACTTATCTTTCTGATCCACTAGGTTACAGTTCCCTGTGCCCAGACAAGTTGTTCTGTCCTCAAGGATTTGTGTGCTTTATAGAGATGCAAAAAAGATTAACTAAAAAGTCTTTTGATTAAACTTGCAACCTGTAGCACTCTTGAAGAGTTATACTACCAAAAATCAACTTTGGTGGTATTCTGACCATAGAAGTGGATGTTAAATTAGAATATTTGTGGGTTCAACAATCTTTCATGGTTTAAATGGACACAATAACAAATATTTGTTTTCAAATCTAGTATCATTTTTGTAGTTTACAATAACAGTGGTCTTGCTGATTAATAACAGAATACTTTTTTTTTTCATTTGATAGTCCAATTTGTTTCAAATTGCTTGGTCAAAAATTCCAGAACAGTAGATTTTAAATAAACACTGTGCTTATATTAAGATTTTATGTAAACATGGTAACTGGAAGATCTCCTTCAGGGGTAAATTTTCTAAAACATTTTTCAGTATTTGTAGATCTTGTCCTGCTGATTACTTTTGCTTTGAAAGTTTCTATCTGTTATGGTTTTCAAGATAAAAGGCAAAAAACATGGTAAAAATCAGCATTTGACTGACGATTTGGGCAATGTTGACTTATATGTAAGACTTCTTTTGCTGATTATTTTTGCTATATGAAGTTTGTATCTATCATAATTTTCAAGATAGTAGACAAAACGCAAACATAAGTATAAATTGTCATTAAAGGGTAACAACTCCAATAAGGAGTTGACTGACCATTTCTTCCAAATGACTTATTTGTAGATCTTGTCTTGCTGATAATTTTGGCTTCAAAAGTTTCTCTTTATCTATTACACTACAGTTTTGAAGATAAAAGGTAAAAACAGAGAAAATCTATTGGTCATTTAAGGGCAATAACTCCTAAAGAATTGGTCTGACAGTTTTGATGTAGCTGGACAGAAGGTAGATCTCTCACCATTCTGAACAATTCTGCCCATGTCTGATTTTTTGTAACTAAAGAGTTTTTCAAGACAATAGACAAAAATTGCATTTTACTCCTATGTTCTTCTTCTTAGCCATGTCAACCATGTTGGTTGGCAGGTGGGGTCGTCAGACACAATTTTTATACTAAATACCCAAAGCAATATTGTGGCAAACTTTGGTTCCAGTTGGCCAAGTAGTTTTAGGTGAAGATTTTTGTGAAAGTTAAGGAAATGGTGACTACGGATGATAACTGCTGACAGACGCCAAGTGATGAGAATACAATACTTGGCCAAAAGAGGTGAGCTAATAAAAATTATATGAAAATAATTTGTTAAATCTTACAGAAAAAAATGTTTGAAGAGGGAGACACAGGGAGACTTCTTTCAACAAAGAGGGATTGACAGCTATGTAAATGACATTTAATCTTATTTCTTGTTTGTGCAATCTGAGAAACACAGCAAAAGACATAACTGATGATTAATTTTATCAGACTTCAAGGTTACAAGCCAAGGTTGTACAAAAAAGTTTAAAAACCTTGATAGATTACTGCCAGGAAAAGATAGAAATGAAGATAGGATGACCTGACAATGAATACAAAAATCTATGGCAAGACACCCCACTATCTCATGTCAGAAATGAAAATATTTCAAAGCTGCTAATTCTGGAAAAGTAATACTGGCTAAAAAATACTAAACGTAGTTTCCTGTTGTCAGAAAACCTCATTAAACACTCTTCACTACTGAATTGATAAGTTTTACACTATGTTTTCTGATTAAATTAACAGACCAGATAGACATCAAATAATTACAAAGATAATCATACTTTTCCCTGATGGATCAAAGTCACATCTTGATGTAGTAACAGACCTTGAGCTACTGAAGCTGACAAGACATTCATGATGTAGCTCTTCACACAGAAGACAAAAAAAAAAGAAGAAGGAAATTCATCTGTAGCTCTTCACACAGAAGACAAAAAAATCACACATGAAAGCATAAGGGAGGTTACATAAAGATATTTAGATGAGCTAATTATTTAAAGATGAAAATTATGAATTTGAAGATGTAAAGCTGTTTCAAAATGATAGTGATCACGATAATATTGGTTCTGAGTAATAACTGTATGACTGTGACATAATATCTAGATGTGGAAATTAGAGGTCTTGCAAAATGACCTTGATATAAAAATGAATGCATTGTAAATTTGCTTTTAATTTATCTAGATTGATCCAATCTTATCACCAGCCAATAATTTTCTGTATGTGGATATTCCTATTCTTTAAAAATAAATTCAATATTGATTGAATTAAATATTGAATAAATGTGTGCAAATTTTTAATCAAAGCAGTTCTGTTTGACATTATTCCACTGACATTTGAAATTAAAGCAGATATGATTAACCTTTTCTGTATCATTACACAAAATTTAGCAAAGTTCAAGTTTCAGCAATCACAATAATACATCTATACTCTTTTTATCATTCACTAGATAGGGTTATTATGAAAGGACAACATCTATACCTATATTCATATGATAACCTTGGATTGTATCATTGTATATCTTTATAATTAGGCTTTTTCATTACATGCTTAAAATATCTATTTCTATAATAGTCATAGTATTTGATAATG